CACCACAAGTAACCTGGATCCAACTTGAACACCCCAAGTACTTGGAAACTATTAACCAAGTACTGTTGAGGTAATTATACAGAGGTGGCTGGTGGACACACTCTGACTGAGAGGAGCTCCATAATCAGCCCATGACCTCTCTGTGACTCCAGGACACTGCCTGTAGATTTTAAATAGAAAATTCTAGAGAGGAGTTTCGGCCTCTTGTTCTAATGAATTTCTATAAACATTTTATGAAGTTTTAAATAGAAATTCTATGACCCATTTCTCATGTGAATACTCGATTACACCTATCAATGAATAGAAGAAACATGTCCATAACAAAAATTGTACATACCAATTTCGGGAAGCAGATCACGTGCAGTGTCAAGGGCTTTACTGTATTTAATAAGCTTTTTCACTAGTAAGCCTTGTCATCTTTTAAGTCGTTGACAAACTTTTTAACATCATTTTCATAGTTTGCCTTGCCTCCCGCAGATGATGTTATAAATGTGGACACAATGTTTTGTTCGTATAATCCATCCAATGATTTCCAGTGTCAAGTCATGCAAACAAAAAACTATATCTGAATTTGGTGGATCACACGAGAGTTGCTCATACCTGTGCATTCATTAGAGCAAAACCAGGGTTCATCCTCTTCTGGCACATTTTCCTCCTGCATATCAGTGCACACAATATGAAACCAATCACCATTTGGTAGATTGTCCCCATAGCAACCAGGTAAATATACAAACTATCTTGGTTGGTCATCAATATGGTATCTGTCATATGCACAATGGAATAATCCTAAAATTATGTCATGGGTGTTTTATTGGTTCCAGTATCCATTATTATGATGTGAACAAATTATTGACCTTAAATTCTTAACAATCAGCACAGAAAAGTGACAGATAATATATCCTATTGATTATAAGACGAGTGATATATTATCAGAGAGAAAAACACAATTGTTCAATTTTCATAGCTTCAAGATTACATGTACATACCTTCACCACAAAAACAGTAAGGGTAGTTTTCTTCAGCTTCGTCTTCCTCATTAACACTATCCATACTCTCAACAATTACATGTTGTAGCTGCGCAATATTGATCTGATGCCAAATCTCACTGACAATATCTTCACATACACCCTGCAAATACTGCTGCCTATTTTCCAGTGATTCTTGGTAGATAGAATTTCTTGGTTTATGGCATATATCTGAAAGGCCCAACTTCTTCATTGCAAGTAGGCACACTAAACCTTCAGTGGTGAATTTGAGAAATACAGTCATGTGGTTAAAGCACTGCATGACATTTGTTTTCACATTCTTGTGATTATAGGCATTCTTGATGTGTGCAATGGTTTCTCTGTCAGCTGCACTCTTTTCAGAGTAAAATTCATTCATTATATCCTAACACAAAATGCAGAGAAAACTATTTACTAAATTAAATGTTCTGGGTAGACAATTACTCAATAGATTTACTGAAACAGAAAGTACCAACAAGTTTGCATTAGAAACACTGTGGCATAACTGATTTGATTTTTGCACAATTTCCTGCCCCATCACTGTTTGCATTGAGACTTGTGTAAATTCACCCATGTAATGGCCCCAGTATTCTTAAAACAAGCATGACAAAAGAGAAGATAACAAAAGTCTAAACGTTTCTAGTGTATAGTCAGCTTATATTGGAACTTGATCCTTGGTTGCTGGGGCAATGTAAGTTTACTAAATTACTAGCCTAAGGGGCTCTATAAAAGTAAATAGGCTCTTTTCATGACCCCTAAAGGTCACACATCCTGGTATTTTTGTTGCTGTATAATCATCACAAATGAAAATGTTTAATGTAATGTTTGTTTTTGTTCCAAGCAAAATATTTAACTCTACTAACTAAAACAAATACCTTTTAGTTCATTTTGTGACTCAAAAATACAAAAAAAAATCAAGAAAAATAAATATATTCTTGTTTCCCATACCTTATCTATTTATTTAATAACAGACAACATCCCCCGGAGGGGATGAAAAGGGTTACAAATCAGATATTAGTAAAAGAAAAATAACTACATAAAAAGTAAAGGAACAAAAAAAACATTAAAAAAAAGAGAAATTTGTATACAAGGAATGTGTTACTGGCTTAGTTTATGTAGGTGCTGCAAAAATACTAGGATGTGTGACCTTCAGGGGTTATAGAAATGGGCTATTGGTCTGAAACGCATAATCTGCCCCCAGCTCTTATCACAATATTATACACAGTTTATAAAATTGTTTAGTAATGATGAGAAATATGACATTGATTTCTAGGTTTTTTTTATAAAGAGACAATGGAAGTTATACAGTACTGTATTACCTGCAAAATAATTCCTCTCTTATGGAATTCTTGAGGTATTGGTGTAAGCCCTTCAAGTCTGCCTGCTGGTGTAGTACATCCAGCCCTCGCCCTATGTGAATCAACATGTCTTTCTATTGATAACCCATCACCATGGCACATTAGGGTAAGGAAATCACCATCTACTCTAGTAGGTACATACTTATGTAAATTCTCCAGTATTGAAATCACACCATTCAATGTCGATGGATTCTCATGAATGACTCCAAAGTTTACCTGGACAATTTAAAATATCTAAATGTTCATTATTCCAAAAAATAAGTCTCCATCTAGTCATAAAGCAAAATTGCTTAAATAAAATTTGGATATATATTTAATTTAATATTAGCATGTAAAATATGATGAATGTTTTCAAACTTTTTTAATGAAGTTAATTACTGCACACACTTTGGATGCAAACTATAAGTCCATTAATGAGACCACTGTAGCTCAGGGCAAGTAAGGGCAAAGTTAATATGTTAACGAGTTTTAAATACAGGGGAGTTAGTGGGCCCTTTGGGAGGTTAGTGATTTAAAGGTCACATCTGCATATATTTCAATTGTGACTAATCATATGGACTATGCTGCCCTATTAGCATAAATAAATAAACCATCCGTTTGCCGGCAATTTTTAATTTAGTACTCAGTTCGCATTGCCAAGCCAGCCACAGACGTAGTGTTTTTCTCTGCTTGCGTTTTTCTTCACCATCTGTACTTTTTTTATTGCTAAATGTCAACCAGCTACGTTGAAATCACAATCCGCAGTGTGTTCCCGATACCTATTACGTACCAGAGACGAAATCCGTAGGTACGTTAACTACATTTTGTTTGAATCGGATCCACTACTCGCCAGAATACTAGACTGTAGCGTCGCTTGCGGAGAAAGACTGTGTTATTTTTGTCAACACACTGAGCCACGACCAGAACACGAAAACGACATACTCAAACAGTTTTACTCATCTACAAACAATTGATCAATATTACTAGCTATGGATAGCTTGACACAATCGGACATGTTCTCCAGCGACATAGACCTTACACCACCGAGAACAATGGAACCCGAAGGCAACTCTGATGTAACTCTCGAAGTACAGCAATGGGCAGTGAACAACGACATCACCTCCTTCACTCTTGCAAAACTAGCCACTGGTGGATTTATTAACATGAAATCTGTCATGGCTTATCGAGCTCGACGATATTGATGCGATGGGAATTGAACAGCAGCACAGCGTCGCATCTTGATCAACGCCATTAAAGACATCAAACAAGCACGGCG